CTGGGCTCTCTCCTCCTCCCTGCCCCTGGGCTCTCTCCTCCTCCCTGACCCCAGGCTCTCTTCTCCTCCCTGCTCCTGCGCTCTCTCCTGCGCTCTCTCTCTTGGGCTCTCTCATGGGCTCTCTCCTGCGCTCTCTGGCTCTCAAATAAATAAATAAAATCTTAAAAAAATAAGACCCACACCCTGCCCTCCATTCAAAAGGACCATTATGTAAGCAGATGAGGGCAATGAAGTGAAGCATGTGCTTCAGGGCAGGGACCGGGCATGGCTCTAAATCTCTGGCCTCCAGCAGAGTTCTGGGCAAGGGGGTCATGCTCCTGAAGTACTTAAATGAGTGTGTTGTTTGGTGGAGCTAGAAGAGGACTAGCCAGCCTAGTCCTAGGGGCAGTGGGAGGGAACATTCTCATTAGGGTGGGAGGATCAGAAGAGGTTTCAGGGAAGGGTAATCTTTGGCACAACAGTGCAGAGACTTTCTATTTAAAAGTGATTTTTAGGGACACCTGGGTGGCTCAGTGGGTTAAGCATCTGCCTTTGGCTCAGATCATGATCCCAGGGTCCTGTCTTAAAAAAAAAAAAGTGATTTTTAAAAACTTCCTTTTCTAGGGGCGCCTGGGTGGCTCAGTCGTTAAGTGTCTGCCTTCAGCTCAGGTCATGATCCCAGGTCCTGGGATAGAGCCCCGCATCGGGCTCCCTGCTCCGGGGGAAGCCTGCTTCTCCCTCTCCCACTCCCCCTGCTTGTGTTCCTGCTCTCACTCTCTCTCTCTCTGTCACATAAATAAATAAAATCTTTAAAAAAAAAAAACTTGCTTTTCTATATCGATTGGGATTTTTAGGACTTGTACTCTGACTGTAAGGAGTTTCTGAAGTAATGAGGAACTTCTCAGGAGGTCTCATTTTTCCGTGTCCTGTTATATGAACACCAACACCATAGTTAGGTTTTTCTGTAGTTCTAAATATTTAGCAGGCAGCTCATTGCCGCAACGGCAGTAATAAAATTCATGTTCTCAGTGATTCCGAAGCATAAAGATGTGGCTTTGATATAGAGAAATGCAGTTTGTGGCAGTGTGTTGATAGTTCTGTAATATTATTTTCTCTTTTTCTTTCTATTTTTCCTGAGGTCATTCATTGCCTTTCTTTGAATATTTCCTTTAACAAAAGTTTTTTTGTTTGTTTTTTTAATTTTCCATTTATAGCAGTCCCCACAGTTCACCTTCTCACACTCCCACAAGGCATGGACGTAACATGGCATGTGGGGGAAAAGGAAGAAACCATGACTTTTTAATGGAAATACAGTTAAGCAAGGTAAGATAGTATTTTGAAAGGAAAAAGCCACTGACGTAGGAGCATTAATGGGGGTTCCTTGGGTACTCCCCAGCCTTGTGGTTTTGAGCCCTAAGGGCCAGCCCTTTGGATTGGAAAAATGCAGGGGTCTTGTAAAACTTCTACCTTTGCTTTCTCAAATGTTCCGAGAAGTTTGAGGGGTTTGTTTTGTTTTTGTTTTCCCAGGCTGTCCCTAGAGGAGTGTGTCTCAGAGTTGAGCAAGCATCAGAATCCCCTCGAGGGCTTGTTAAAACACAAGTTGCTGGGCCCCAGAGTTTCTGAATCAGTATGAGGTGGGGCCCATGAATTTGCATTTTTAATGAGTTCCCAGGTGATTCTGATACTACTGTTCCCATGACTACACTTGGGGAACCACTGCCCTGGAGGATCTACCTGGGAGGGCTGCCGGCGGATAGGTCCTGTGTCAGGTCCTCCATGAATGTCTAGAGACCAGTACGTCCAGGTCGCCAGTGACATCATACGCGTTCAGTTCTTTGAGCGTGTCTGGGATTGTGCCCAGTGCCTTAGGGCGCTTAACACGGGAGTATCGTAGTGATGAGGATCCCATGCATTTCATTGTATCCTTGCCCCCCGCTTTGGAACTTGAACATTGCCTCCACTGATTCTTTTTCGAGCAATTTCATGGGTATGCAAGATGATAATTTTGTGTATTATTCTTAGGGTTTTGCTTGAAAAGGATAGGGATTTTGCCAAGATCAAGTAAGAGATATGCTTGAGCTCATGCTTGTGTGGTGAGGCACACGTAGATCAGTAAAGTGAACAAATGAAGGACTGTTCTGTTCTCTGAAACAGCAAGTGATGGGTGATATTTTGCATTTATAGAAGAAATCTAATTTAAATAAAAGGTAAAAATGGTTGTGTGTTCTTTCTTCTCTGTGAAGGTGAGGTTTCAGCACGAGGTCTACCCGCCTTGCAAGCCTGAGTCTGACTCTGGCCTCTTAGAGCACCCAGTCTCCCGGCAGGTGTTTGTCGTGCAGGATCTTGAAATTCGAGATCGTCTGGCAACATCACAGATGAATAAGTTTTTGTACCTGTATTGCAGTAAAGAAATGCCTCGAAAAGCTCATTCCAACATGGTAAGATTTAAGACCTCATGTGTTCTGTTGTGTATTTGTTTTGGAAAAGTGTGTTTATTGTATCTAACTGCAGAAGATTGAGATTGGGGAAAATGGAAGGTTTGTGTTTTTTTAATAGTAATATGCTGCTTTTAAATCCCTTTTAAATATGCTGCTTAAAGTTTTATTATTAATTTTTAAAGGTTTTATTTCAGACAGCGAGCATGAGCTGGGGGGAGGGGCAGAGGGAGAAGCAGACTCCCCGCTGAGCAGGGAGCCCCATGTGGGACTGGATCCCGGGAGCCTGGGATCATGACCTGAGCCGAAGGCAGACGCTTGACTGAGCCACCCAGGCGCCCCTTAAAGTTTTATTATTTAAAAATTATTTTTTAAGATTTATTTATTTTCTATTTTTTTTATTTGACAGCGAGAGGGGGAGAGAGGGAGCACAAGCAGGAGGAGTGGGAGAGGGAGAAGCAGGCCTCCCACCGAGCAGGGAGCCCAATGCGGGGCTCGATCCCAGGACGCTGGGATCACGACCCGAGCCAAAGGCGGATGCCTAATGACTGAGCCTCCCAGGTGCCCCTAAAAATTATTTTACATGTCACTTTTAGGGTCCATTAATTTTAACTGTCAATATATTGATACCCAAGGAAAATGGGAAGTCCATTGTGATCTACACAAAATATTTAGTATTGCTGGAAGTGTTCCAGATTTTTTTTTTATTCATTTTTTTTGGCATACTTGGTTTTTTTTTTTAAAGATTTTTTTTTTATTATTTATTTGAGACAGAGAGAATGAGAGAGAGCACATGAGATGGGGGAGGGTCAAAGGGAGAAGCAGACTCTCTGCCGAGCAGGGAGCCCGATGCGGGACTCAATCCAGGGACTCCTGGATCATGACCTGAGCTGAAGGCAGTCACTTAACCAACTGAGCCACCCAGGCGCCCCAGTGTTCCAGATTTCTAACACTTTGTGAGTTTTAGTGGAATAGGAATGATTTGCTCAGGATTGCTAGAAGAAAACGTCCTAGAAGCTGTCTTTGGAGTGTGGCTCTCCGGATTCCCTCCAGGGTCCCAGCGGATCCTGAAGTGCATGTACCACACTGTCGTTTACGTCTTTCCCACTAAAGAGAACCCATATCTCTCCTGAGATTCTTCAGGGAGTGTGTGCCCCAGACAAGTGTGATTCAGGCCTTTAAACAAAAAGGGGAAACAGTTCCACTTTTAGTTCTCCTATAAGGAATAGAAATAGGATTTTTTTCTTTTGTTTCTTCTGTTTTTTTCTTTTTGAATGAAAACAAGGTTGTAATATCATTGGGGAAAAAATGGTTTTCTTCTCTCCTAGTTGACAGTGAAAGTATTACACGTGCGCCCTGAGTCCGGCAGGTCACCGCAGGAATGCTGCTTGCGAGTGTCCCTAATGCCACTTCGCCTCAATATTGACCAGGTTTGTACTGCAAGCATCGTGTGAGGAGTTATGCTTCTACGTCCCAGACTCAGAAGAAGAGATTTAATTTAGGTGAATTAAAATGTTTACTGTTACTTAACTGTTATGAAAGTTGCATAATTGAAGAAGAATTCTGCTGGTAAAGAATAGGACAAATTCATCAGGCGTTTGGGATCTGAACTGTTGGTGAGTAAACATTGTTAGATGTTGTGCTCCAGGCTCTTCATTGTCTGCGTGACCTAGTACTCAGTCCCTGCTTCCCGTTCTTCCCTGCTCACGGACACACGGGCAGGTACACAGGTGTCTTCAGAGGGTAGGAAATGACTCCCTGATATCTGTGGTTGAAAGATCAGGGGGCTTGTCTCTTAACCACAGCACCTGGAAGAGAATTCCTTCTGCCCTGGGCAAGATGACAAATTAGTAAATTGGATACCCGAACAGGTCACAAACAACAGATTTGTGGAAAGACCTAAAGAAATCCACTTGGCCATATTCTAGCAAGCATTTCCATGAAATTGTTCTGGGTTTTGCTTTGACTCCGCTGTAAACATAGTTGGCGCCTCTTGGGCAACCTAGATTCAGGGTGTGTGAACACATGATGCTTTGCAGTCATGTGGTGTAGCCATGAGGGGGGCACAGGCTCGGGAGTCAGGCTGGGGTTAGCACCTCAGTTCTCTTTCCCTAGTTGTGTGCCTTTGGGGAAGTTATTTCTCCAAGCCTCACTTTCTTCACTGATAAAATCAAAGTAAGAGAAATAGATGTAGAATCGTTTTTTAAAAAACGAGGATCAAATGGGACTAGCATATGTTAAGTATTTAGCTTGGTGCCTGGCATACAATGTTAAAAGATCAGAAGTGTTAACTGTTGTTTTTATTAACTGAAGCATGTCACAACTGAGGAAAATAAGTGGAGTTCTTAAAATAGCCTGCTTTTGAAACAGCAGAACTGTCCTGTTACACTTTATATTGGTGTGAGAAGGAGAGTCTGTGTGGGATAGCACTGTTGGTTTGCTTACATGGTACAGATTGAACAATGTTGACTTGTTATTTAAATAAGTAACAGACATTTCAGGAATAAGGTATTAAATAATTATCTTGCAGAAATATAGACATTTCTCAGAAAAAATGTATTGTGGAAGCACAGAAGTTCAGCACAGCTTCACATTAATATTTGTAGCTTCTGAGCTGGGACAGACTTGCCAGTGCGTACTTTAGATTTATGTTCCCTCCTTATGAGAAGAATTTCTTTGGATACCCATATTTTAATTTGATTTATCCATGCATTGCCTTGTGATTGAATAGGAGTACGATCAAGTATTTATGGGAAATTCGATCTGTGGAAATCAGTGTGAGCAAGAATTTGAGCAAGATACATCTTTATGGCATGACTTTGCCAGATGTAGCAAGCCCAGTTTTCTTTTTCCTTTTTTTTTTTTTTTTTGATTTTTTTTTTTTTTTTTTTTGGGGGGGGGGGAGAGAGAGGGAGAGAGAGAGTGTGTGGGGGGGGAGGGGCAGAGGCAAAGGGAGAAGCAGAGTCCCTGCTGAGCAGGGAGCCCGACGCAGGACTCAATCCCAGGACCCTGGGATCATGACCTGAGCTGAAGGCAGAAGCTTAACCAACTGAGCCACCCAGGTGCCCTGCCTAGTTTTCTTTAATAGACTTTTTTCTTTAGTAGTGAGCTTAATTTCTTAGAACTATAAAGCATTGTGATATTGAAATGGGGAGATACTGATCTTTGAGAAAACAGGGAAATCACCGTTTTGGCTGACCTGAGGAGCGGGAAATCGTTCCCCAAGATACGAACCTGAGGAGAACACAGCCGCACTGCAGGTGTGTGCTGACAGGTTCACTGTGCAAACTTCCTTTCTGGCTGGCACCTTCTAAGATCGACGTGCCTTAGTTTGAGAGAGCAAATGGTCCTCTGAAGAGAAAATCCGATACTTACGTTCTCCATTTTTTTTTTAGAAAACTAATCAGTTGAAGAATGATAATGCTTTGAGTAATACTTTTCTTACCAAGCATGTCTCTGACTTTATTTCTCTTAACTGGATCATAGATAGTAAGTATGAAAGCAACACAGTGTTTTCTCATGTTTTCAAAAAAGCTGCATTGCTGTTGAAGTTCAGGGTCATTGCTTCCAAAGCTCAGCATGCATGTAGTGGAGGCAGGACACTAGGCAGAAGGAACGATTTTCTTCTGGGGAAGGGTAAATAGATGATGAAGTTCATGTAACTAGGCAGTTTGAGATCTGAACTTTGAAGAGGCCAGATTTCCTGACTCTCCTAGTCTGGTGTCCATTTCAGTGTTGCACTGCCTGGAACTCTGTGCAGGGAAAATGTGCTTGTTAATCCCAAATGATTTGCTGAATGCCCGTCTCATCGCAGGTCCTGTACTAGGATGCTGGGGATACAAAGATAAGTGAGCATCTCCATCCTCAAAGATCTCTGTATGGGGGTGGGGATTGGCATAAAACAGACGGCTTTAACACCCTGTGGTGAGTCCCAGTGGTAAAGGTAGGCGTAGTGGGGTATGCCCCAGCAGAAGGGGCTCTGAAGCCAGGCGGGGAATTCAGGAACGTGAGGGGTAATCAGGAAAGGCTTTTGGAGGAGGTGATACTCAAGGTGGGTCTTAAGGAATGTGGCTGAGTTAGTTGCATTAAGATTTGTGTAAAGGCATTGAGGGCCTAATTCAGGTTGTGAGAGGAGACGTGAGGCCATTCTGTTAAGGTAGGTATGTGCTTGGCTGAGGCTCGAGATGGTGAATACGTAGCAGTACTAGTTTGCACATTTGTGGATTTTTAGCATCGTTACTTGATTGCCTGAGTATGACGTTATAATTAACTATTTTAACACTTCTATGATAGAAGATACTGTTAGTATCTTCTTAAAGCTAGAAAGAATTAGAGCCTAAGTTTGTAAAATAATAAAGCACATTTTTTCAAGTTTTAAGAAGTTGATTGTATGGAGGTATAATTTGCATATAATAAAGTGCCAGGATTTTAGGTGTACAGTTTGAGCTTTACAGATACACTTGAGTAACTAGTGCACCAGTTGAAATAGCATTTTCTGTTCCCTTCAGAGTCCCCCGTGCCCCTCTGTGATCAGTCTCCACCACACCAAAGTAACTGCTGGTCTCCTTTCTATCACTATAGGTTAGCTTTATCCCTCCCACAGCTTCATGTAAATGGAAGTGTATTTGGCTTCCTGTGCCGTGAGCTTCATCTATGCTGAGGCGTGTCTGTTCATTTCTGTTCAGTCTGTTCCTTTTCATTGCTGAGGACGGATGTCCTTGTATGGCTGTACCACAGTTTGTGTATCCATTTACATAATTTACATTTGGGTTGTTTTTCTTGGTTTTGGCTCTTAGGAACAAAGCTGTTACAAAGTCTGTGTACAAGTCTTCTTATGGATCTTTTGTTTTCGTTTGTCTTGGATATTATAACCAATTTCCAGGCCGTCACGCAGATGCGTATTTGGCCAATATAAGAAGCTGCCAGTTTCCCCTGGCAATTAAACCCTTGTACATCCCCCCAGGAACACGAGAGCTGCTGCTTCACACCCTGACCAAACCTGATACTTTTTAATTTTAACATTTTTATTTGGTGTTCATTGTGGTTTTAATTTGGATTTCCTGATGGCTAATGATGCTAAGCATCTTTTCACATGCTTACCTGGCATCTGTATACCCTTTTGTGAAGTGTCTGTGTCTTGCTAGTTTTAAAATTAGGTTGTTGTATTGAGTTGTAAAGAGTTTAGCATAAATACCAAAATCAGAACTTCTGAGAGCATATTGAAATGCTGACCATTAGTATCCCCTCTTCTGTTGTTTTGTGATTTGTAGTGAAAATGGATAAATGCCACTGGCTCTGTGGTCTTCTCTCTCTCTCTCTCTCTCTCTCTTTTTTTAAAGCATATTTATACCTGGAAATTTTCTCTTGTTTTTTTGAAGGCATAGAGTCAGAGTATTTATTGCGTTAAAATATCACCATCTAGTGGTCAAAGAGTAACATTTTTAGGGACTATTTGTAAACATCTAATATTTGATATACATACGTTATCCAATGTGTGTGTACATATACACACGGATCTGTGTAGTAATGTGAATAGCAAAATGTACACATATATAAATGTAAATAAAGCGTAATGTAATGAACAGTTCATGAACCCACTGTCTTACTGCAGAACCAGAGTATTTTCAGTACTCTTGAAACTGCCTGCTTGTTCTGCAGTCCCATCCCTCAGTCTCCCATATGCCATGTTACCTAGAAGAATATCTTTCTGACTTTCATCTTTTATACTTCTGATAAACGTGATCCCTAGGTTGATCAGACCCTTTGGAATTACCAGACTTAAGAGTATGCTACCAAATATCCCGACCCTGTAATGCCACACCACATTGCATTTTGGTACAGTTATTAATGCTTTATATTAACTGAGAATTTTTTTAAATGGAAGGGCAGAGTAAGAAAGAACAGGCTCAAGCATTTAATTTTCATAGTTTCCAAAAGGGGTCTGTCGGTGTGAGTGAGGTGGGTAAAACGAAGCTGCTAATAGCGGGCGAATGTGGCTTGCTCGGACAGCATTAAGACAGGCCCGTGCATTTTTGTTATTATATCATTTCAGAAGAGACCACACTGGGTGATTTTATGGATTTTACTTTTGAATATCCTGTCCAATGGAGAAAATGTGTTAAGGCGATAGAACATGGTTGTACAGGCAGAAAGCAGGTAGTAAGAACTTGCAAGGCGTGTGGGTGTGCGCAGGCCGGCAGGCTGCTGTTCCTCGTGGCAGTATTGCGCCCCCTACAGTTTGCACTGAGCACTGGCATCCAAGAACAAGGATGCCGCCTTCCTGAGAAACCAAACTGTACTTGGATTTAGAAATAGTCGTGTAATCTTTAACTTCTCTGTGTCTTAATTTTCACGTCTATAATTTTTCTCAGAGTTGTGAGAATTAACAAGGAAGTGTGTGTGTGAGAGAGAGATGGGGAATAGGAACAGTGCCTCACACAGTAAGAACTCAAAAATGGGTAAAATATGGGACTTTGAGATACTTTGTAGTTTTAGAAATAGATGTCTCCGCCCCTGCCCTGATTATAATTACTTCTTTTCATTTTAGGATGCCTTGTTCTTCCTGAAGGATTTCTTCACAAGTCTTTCCACAGAAGTAGAGCTTCTAATGACTCCAGATCCAGAAGGTATTAAATATGTATAGTTTGGAAAAAGTCTATATCAAATACTTGGATTGATTTTGATTATGAGGCCTTTTTGAGAGTGTACTTACAGTCTTTATTCTCATTTATATAAATGTGCTTTGTGTTTATTTTTTTATATTTTGCAAATGTTTATGTAAGAGTAATAATTTAAAAGGTCGAAGTCAGTGGTCTCTGTAGCAGTTATTGTGTTTATTAAATGCAGCAAAACAAGTTAAATCCACATTAATTTTAAATGGTTGCTCTAAAGAAGCATTCCTAATTTTTCAAATGCACACATTACCTTTTCAGTTAAAAAATCTCCTGGAGCTGATGTCACCTGCAGTTTGCCAAGGCATTTAAGCACCTCCAAGGAGCCAAATCTAGTTCTTTCTTTTCCTGGGCCAAAGCAGCCTTCCCAAGATGGTGGTGCCAGTTCGGTGGAAATGGTTAATGGGGAGGAAGAGAAGGACTTCTCAGCTGGAGAAGCATCATTTAGTGATCAGCCCGTGTTTTTTAGGTAAATCACTTAATTTTGATAACACATGAAGTTATTTTAGCGTTTTGCAGGTTGATCTTTTTTTTTTAATTTTTATTGTTATGTTAATCACCATATATTACATAATTTGTTTTGGTGTAGTGTTCCATGATTCATTGTTTGTTCATAACACCCAGTGCTCCATGCAGAATGTGCCCTCTTTAACACCCATCACCAGGCTAACCCATCCCCCTACCCTCCTCCCCTCTAGAACCCTCAGTTTGTTTTTCAGAGTCCATCATCTCTCCTGGTTCGTCTCCCCCTCTGACTTACTCCCCTTCATTCTTCCTCTCCTGCTATCTTCTTCTTTTTCTTTTTTTTTTCTTAAAATATGTTTCGTTATTTGTTTCAGAAGTACAGATCTGTGATTCAACAGTCTTACACAATTCACAGCGCTCACCGTAGCACATATCTTCCCCAATGTCTATCACCCAGCCACCCCATCCCTCCCACCCCGACCACTCCAGCAACCCTCAGTTTGTTCCTGAGATTAAGAATTTTGCAGGTTGATCTTTAATGTGTTCGTGTACCACCACTAATCATGAGGTTACTCCAGCTTTTCTTTGCCCTGCCCAACAGTAACTAGTGTCTTTATTTACACGTGGGCTCCACGTATCCTGCACCCCTTGATTACAGGTAGTAACCCTGGGTTAGGGCTATTTTCTCTGGATTCTGCAGCAGGAATGTCCTTTTCCTCTTAGCTTTGTTTTCCTCCTTCTGTCTCTCTTCCCAGCCACTGGTACGGCTTATTTGTACCTCCCCAATCAGGATGTCCTTTCCTCTTTTCCCTTACACACCTTGACTTCCTTTTTCCAGTGTGGGCATTTTCTGTCTGGTGTTCCATCTGCCCTTCCCCATCACTGCTGTGTCTTTCCTGACCCTTCACTCCCTGGCTCAGTCGGCACTGTCAGGAAAAGCAGGCCCGCGTGCTCCTGCTATCCGCTGTAGCTCCTGCCCATGACTCAGCTAGCTGCTTGCACGCTGGAATTTATCCTCGGCTCCAGACCCATTCATTCTTCCCATCATCTTTCCCGGCCCCTCATGGTGGGCATGGAGCCTTGGCTCCATTGGAAGGAGAAAGAAGGAAGATCTAAGCCACCTGTTGTTGTGAGGGACCGTTAGTTACTTCCCCTTGTTGTCCGTACTCCTGTTGACATCGATTGTCCCCAGATTCTGTCTTTTCAAGCTGACTTTAGGTTAGACTTTGGGTATGGCCCAAAGCGGGCAGTAAGCTATTTAAAGTGCTTTCATATTTTTATATATATCTTGAAAATAGAGAAAAAAAAAATAACGATATGAGAATTGGAAAGATCCTGGGATAGATGATCTCTGGCAGTTGTAAAAGTTTCACCAGGAATGAAGAATCTGTTATTACTTTCCCACATTGATCTTTAAATTTTTTTTACTACCAGAAAATTGCATATCATAAGTAATAATGTGAATTCTCATTTTATATTAATCACACATGAACTCCTAGTTTGGTTTTTGTAAACACTGGTTAGCCAGTCCAAAAGAAATTGAATTGTTAACAATTCTGGCCTGAAAGCAAAGAAATTTAACATTTCTTATTCAGCTTGTGTGGCCTCACTTAGGTAAATGTTTTTGGTTTTTTTTATTACACTATTTAAAATTGCTATGGATTTCTGTTAAACTCTTAAAAATTCCTAGAAGGCCTAGGGGTGGTAGTCAGTGATATAGTCCAGTTTACTCACTTCACAGACGAGGAACTTTATTGTCCAGAGAAGTAAGTTGACTTGCTCAAAATCACACGGTTAGTGGCCAAGTCAAGACTAGAACACAGGTCTTAATCCCAAATCTGGCGCATTTTCTAAGGGATGGCCTAATAGCCCCCAACCGTTCCACAGATATTTATTGAGCTCTTACTCTGTGTATGCCAGGTTTTGTTCTAGGCACAGTAAACAAAGCTGAGAAAAATTCCCTGTATAATTGAGCTTACAAATAATTAAAATACATGATTTGCCATATTATGTGCCATGAAGAAAACAAAGAGTGAGAAGGAAGAGAACCAAAATGCCCAGGAACCCATGTGGAGCTGTGTATTTGGAAGATGAGGGATGACCTAGGGTCCCAGGCTCCTGTAGTGATTGACGTTTAAATACAGCATTTCCATTTTGCTGTGGGTTAAATTGGACTTTCGTGGAATGGCTTAGGATATAAACACAGACATTAATTCTGTAGAAAAATTGTGTTTTAAGTCCAATTTACAGTCCAACTTTGGGAAGCCGGCTCCTTTTGTTTGATGTATACCATCAGCGTATAATTAAGATTTTCATTCTCACAGAATTCCCAATGCTTGTGTGTTGATATCCTGTTTACAAGCATTAATTTCAAGAATGCTCACTCAAATTCACCAGCGTGGGTGGCATTTTAAAAATTTACTAAGACGTTTAGGCTCAGAGTTTAAGTTCCTTGCCCTTGCCCATGATTGCATCACATATAACTGGTAAAACTGGGATTCGTGGCTGGCTTTTCTGGCACTTTCTGCTTCATGGTGGAGCTGAAATAAATCCCTTACCTCTTCTTTTTTACTTCTTGGTAATGATTCTATTATTTGATTTAATCTTGAAGGTCACCTTTATTATTCTTCTGTATAAATTAAGAATATCTGCCAGAATAAATTTTTCTAAGGTAAACATTTAGTAAACTGGGAGGTTTTTTTTTTTTTTTGTGAGAAAATTTAAATAAAATAAATACAATGTATAAGATGAGTAACATTAGTTTAGTTATATTATCTTAAGATAGAACTAAAAGACATTGCCTTTTATTTAGGTCTTCAGATACATTATTTTATGGTTTTGTTTTTATTATCCAGTTGAACAAATTAATTTATTTCTAATTTCAACTATTCGTACTTTTGAATATAAATAACTCCCCTCCTTTCTTTATCTTCAGAGAATTTAGATTCACATCAGAAGTTCCTATTCGACTTGATTATCATGGCAAACACGTATCAATGGATCAGGTTTGGAAACTTTGTATAAATATATCTACAAAATTATCTCTTTTGTTTTTCTAATGGAGTTAATTTTTAAACTTTTTCTGTCATGGTTTTTATGTTTGAAGTGACATGCAAGATTTTAAAATTTAATTCTGTTTTTAAAGTAAACATCATTTACTTAACCTGTGAGTAAAATTTAGTGTAATTTGGGTCATATATATTAGTAAGTATGTATTTTTTTGATGTAAATACTTCAAGTGTTTTAGCTGCATAAGTGAATGAATATTACTTCGACTTGCCCAAATAACAACTACTTTAAATGTTGGGTCTCTCAGTTACACATTAATCTGGCTTTTTTTTAATTTTAAAGGGTACGCTGGCTGGGATTCTGATTGGTCTGGCCCAGTTAAACTGCTCAGAACTGAAGCTGAAGCGGCTTTTCTACCGGCATGGGTAGGTCGATTTATACCATATGAGGCTTTACGGTATAGTGACTGTGATTAGCTTACAACAAATCGATCCACTGACTTTTCTTAGCAAACATATCATTGTTCTACAGTATTGTGTGCAGAGAGCTTGTTTTTAGAGGAGGCTTACTGATTAGGGGCTACTTTTTATGCTGAGAGAGTAGTAGTTTGAACAGAGTAGTATTTTTCAAAAACAGCTATAGTTATTTTTTAATAATTTCCCAAAGTCATACATTCATTTATTTAGCAAAAAGACTGGAAGTTCACAACGTAATGGTTCTTAGTGGCTGAGAACCATGTAGCAGTTTATAGACATTGAGTTAATACTATGCTAGAGCTTTAAAAATTTTATTTATTTATTTAAGATTTTATTTATTTGTCAGAGAGAAAGAGACAGAGAACAAGCACAAGCAGGGGGAGCGGCAGGCAGAGGGAAAGGGAGAAGCAGGCTCCCCACCGAGCAGGGAGCCCGATGCGGGGCTTGATCCCAGGACCCTGGGATCACGACCTGAGCCGAAGGCAGACGCTTAACCAACTGAGCCACCCAGGCGCCCGAGATTTTATTTATTTGAGAGGGAGTGCGTGTGCACACACAAGTGGGGAGAGGAAGAGCAAGAGAGAGAATCTCACGCAGACTCTGTGCTGAGTATGGAGCCTGATGTGGGACTCGATCTTACGACCCTGGGATCATGACCTGAGCTGAAACCCAAGAGTCTGATGCTTAACCAACTGAGCCACCCAGGTGCCCCCTATGCTAGAGTTCTAGATGTTCAAGAAATAGGAGCAGTGGAAGAATACAGTTATACATGTTACTGAAACCTTGTAGAAATTACTAACATTAAACTGGATTATATATATGTGTACATATATGTATGTATATGTACATTCAGATCGAACATCTCTAATATTTTGTCCTTGTAATTGGTAAATTTTCTTTTGTCTTAAGTTAAAAAACCCTAGCTTATTATGGTAAACGAATTAAGGCAGTCAGAGAAAGACAAATACCATATGATTTCACTCATGATGAACAGATGAGCATAGGAGAAAGGAAGGAAAAATAACAGGGAGGAAGGCAAATCATAAGAGACTCTTAACTCTAGGGAACAAACTGAGGGTTGCTGGAGGGGGGCGGGGCAGGGGTTGGGGTAACTGATGAGCATTAAGGAGGACACTTGATGTAATGAGCACTGGGTGTTCTATGCAACTGATGAATCACTAAATTCTCCTGAAACTAAAAAAAAAAAAAGTTCCCCCAACTTATCTGAACCTACGAATTTCTTTCTCTTTTCTGTATACTAATAGTCATTTGCTCTAGCTTGCTAGGTGTTGACAAATTGTTTTCGTATGCAATCACGGAATGGCTTACTGACATTAAGAAAAACCAGCTACCAGGAATCCTGGGAGGTGTTGGGCCTATGCATTCACTAGTACAATTAGGTGAGTTTTCTTTTTTAATCAAAAGATGATTTATTTTGCCTGATGTGTGATTCTTAACCCCTTTGGAGTTATGGGTGCCTTTGGGACAGTCTGTGTGAGAGGACCAACTTTCTAGAAAACTTCTGTGTGTGGTCATACACACAGGTAAGAGCACTTTGCGTTCCCATTTGAGGTTAAAACCCCGGGGTTAGAGCGCTAGCAGAGATCTGAGTTCCAGCACTCCCGCTGATTGCTCCGTGTTGACCGTTGTTCTAGTGCAAGGCCTAAAGGACTTGGTCTGGTTACCGATAGAGCAGTACCGGAAGGACGGCCGCATCGTCAGAGGGTTCCAGAGAGGTGCTGCCTCCTTTGGCACCTCAACAGCCATGGCCGCCCTGGAGCTCACCAACAGGACGGTTCAGACCATACAGGTATCTCTCCACCGACTGCCGTCCTCCCTATGGAGAGGAACGGTTCCTGCAAAATGGTCGGGGGTTTATGTTTTTAAAAAGACACTGTGAAATATACAGAACATTGAGAATAGATATCTTATTTATGATTTAATATCATGGGGTTTTTTGGGGGGTTTTTTTGTTTGTTTTTATTAAAGAATTCGTAGAATAAAGCAGTGGAATCCAGTGCAAATTTGTGTTTCAGTTAATGTAACTGTTAAGTTAGTCAAGGATTGATTGATTGATTGATTGATTTTTAAAGATTTTTATTTATTTATTTGACAGAGAGAGACACAGCGAGAGAGGGAACACAAGCAGGGGGAATGGGAGAGGGAGAAGCAGGCTTCCCCCTGAGCAGGGAGCCCGATGCGGGGCTTGATCCCAGGACCCTGGGATCATGACCTGAGCCGAAGGCAAGATGCTTAACGACTGAGCCACCCAGACACCCTAATCGAGGGTTTATTTTGCCTCATTTATATGAACAGATCATAGCTAAACGTGAAGGAAGCATTACAGATCAAAACAGACTTATTTTGTTAAGTGTTAAACTCCAGTTGACCTTACCCAGTTGTTCACAGACAGGGCATTCTCGATTAACCTGGTAACGTGGAGAGTGTTCTCAGAGGGAGAGCAGAGGACTGAGAAAGCTCAGTCCAGATACTAGTTCTTAACATGCACTTTAATGTTCTTGGTATAAAAGTGCTAAGTTTTTGTCGTGAAGAACTCCCGATACCACAGACGCACCTGCATTAGGGCCTGCAAGTCCCTCTGTTCTTCCCGACCCCCCCATGGCAAGTGCATTGTTGGAGCAGAACTCTGCAGACTTTCTTCTGATTCATTTCTTACTTTCTGATAAATGATCCAGGCGGCAGCAGAGACTGCTTATGACATGGTGTCTCCTGGGACCCTTTCTAGTGAGACCAAGAAGATCAAAAGGTTTCCTCATCACCGCTTAGCCCACCAGCCAGTGGACCTGCGGGAAGGTGTGGCCAAGGCCTACAGTGTTGTGAAAGAGGTGAGTGCGTACCTGGGTGCTCAGGCCGGAACCGGCTGGCCCACTTTCCTGGCTTTTGTCGGAAGAGTATTTTGTGGTTGGAAACCCCTGCGAGTGGACTTGGAATTGCTACCAATAGCAAGTGCAAATGTCTGCATGAGGTCAGAGAAGAGGGCCAGGTAGTGATGGGCTCACAAGGAGAGTCATGATCTGGAGGAAAGGCTGATTCTACTCACGTGCAGAAGCCAGCCGGGTAATGGACACACGCACACGCTCGCACTACCCGGACGTAGCACGTAGTTGCCCTGTTCTGTAGTACTCAGCTTTGTTTAAAAGTACAGCTTTTCAGCTGAATCACTCGCCCTGATCCCGTTCCCATGCCTTCACTCTCCTGAAGATGGTACACATTTTTTGGTACATGTTTTTGTAGTTTTACTGTGTATGTATTTATAAGCAACACATGCTATTGTTTATATTTTAAAAGTTAACATATATGGTGTCATAGGTATCACTGTGTAACGTCTGCCTTTCAAGCTCTGTCCACAGTGATATACGTACATCTCATTTAAACTTTCTACGGCATTTCATCGTAGGACTGTGGCATACTTCATTTTCCTATTGGTAGACCTTGTTTTCCCTAAACCACTGCTACAGCAATGTTCATATAAATGTCCCTTTGTTCATTTGTGCAAGAGGCTGTTAAGAATGAAGCTGGTGATTTGTAACTATCTGAATCTCAACGTTTATTAAGCCTAATTGCAATTTAGTTGCACCAGTGAATCTGGTTCTTAATGGGCACTGTTGGGAGCATTCCCCGTTGTAATCTTTCTTGACAAAGTTTGAAGTGGTTTTACTCTTGATGCATGTATTAGGATTTCATTAATCTTTTCCCCCGTCTATTCTGACAGGCACAAGTGCCTAGGACAGTCTTTTCCCTGACAGAGTGGCCTCTGTGGTCCCGAATGGTTGGGAGACCACTGAGGTAGGGCCCTGAGGAAATATATTAGTGGAATAAAGGCAAGACCACCTGCTTTTCTTAAAAGGAGACTTAGTTGGGAGAATAATTACTGGTCAGATCTGTTCCTATAGATGTCAGGATTGGGCCAGTTATCAGTAGACATGTTAGAAATCAGGTTTATAAAAATGATCCTGGGGTTCAGGGCATGGCAGGGGCCATGGGCCACAGGATATAATAGCACTTGGAAATGGAGCACTTTGCAGTTTGCATAACGCCTGTCTGATTTAATCTATATTCATTTGAAAAAATATTTGTGTGCTTACTTTGTGCCAGGTGTATAGCAACCATTAAAGGTAGGTGGTGTTCCTCACTTGCCCATGAGGACACTGGCTCAGCAGGAATGGCTCCCCAGTGTAGCTGGGCGAGTCAGTAGTGGGGCCTCGATTGGACCCTGGGTATTCGGGTCTGCCGTGCGGTTCTCTCTCTAAGACTTGTCAGTGTGAGCACAGATTGAGATGGTAGGGTGTGCTTGATTACAAGGAATCTGACTTCCGTGTTCAAAACTTTTTAAATAGAGGCTCTTTACATGGTGATAAATGTGTCTTTTCCCTTTTAGATGTTAAGTAAATCAAAGATGGAGAGAACACATTCCAGCTGGTTCACAGATTGGCTCCTCTAGATCCTGGCTCAGCACACTGTGACTTCTAGGTCACGTCTGGCTCAGGCTTGTTTTTGTGTGGATCTACCAGCTCAGAATTATTTTAACAACTTGAAAGTATTGTAAAAAGGAAAAAAAAAAAAAGAAAAAGAAAAAGCATACACGATAGAACCTGTGTGGCCCACAAGTATTTGCCTTGTGCTGGCTGACCCTTGCTTGCGTTGTTCCCCTGGGGGGGAGGCCGGGGGCTGTGGCGGGGGCAGCGGCCAGGGGCCAGGGCCTGCTTCGTGAGCACGGAGCGCCAGTCTCTGCGGGTGTCTTGAGCCAGTGAAGTCTGACAGTCGTCACAGACTTTCTCCCCCATTGAAAGGACTTGACTAGCAACAAAACAGAACAAAACAAAGAACGAATGAAAAAAAAAAAATACTTGGCCAAGGTAAACACACTGAAGTGATAGAGCCGAGATACGGATTCACTTCTGTGACACGGTGGTGGCGCTCTAGAACCTGCTTCCTGTCTGCGGGCTAGGGAGGGTGTCTGAGAGGAGACAGAAGGATGCAGATCGCACAGGTGGACCAACCATGAGCGTTTTCTTTATTGTCACGGTTTCACTTATTGTAGATAGTTTTAAAAACTGCACTTGTATTTGTTTTTAGTTCTTCTGTACTTTTCCTCCCCCTACAGTATTACATGTTTACCCTGCTGTGCCGGGTAGAAATGATACCCTTGTTAGCTGGTCAGAGTGATGGCTGGATTCTGGCTTAGGACAGGGTTCCTTGATTTCCCTGGAGAGCCCAGAGTGCCTTGTGCTGTGCCCTTCACTGAACCGGTCACAATGGAACAGTGCCTTGTGTCCCCTGTGGGATTTCTGAGTTAGACAAACAGATTTAAAAGTGGTGTGAAGCTTTACCACTTCGGCTTGATCAGCACATTTATATATTGAGCTTTAAAGTGTAGCAATCATGATTATTTTAATGTTACACAGTTATAAGAATCATGAAAAAATGCTACAGAAACTTTTAAATTATTAAACATGTTCCTGCTTTGTTTTCAGAATTTTTTCTATTTAAGCCAATCCTTTTATCTTAATTGAATGTTCCACAATTATCTTTTCTAGTACATAGATAGTAATTTAAAACAAATAATTTTCTGGAGCTGTGTAGAATTAGGTTTTCTTGTTACAGTTGACTCAAAGGAGCTATCACCGTATTCCTTTTGTGATTATATTTATTCCAGAAGCTTTATTTGCTAAGTCTGATTTAACTAGATGATTAATAGTGCCAGGAAAGCTACTCTTAGATCATTAAATAGTTCTTTAAGCTTCCCTACGTGAAATGGTAGCTTAGCTATATTTTCTACATACACGTGTCACAACAAAATGCTAAATTATAATAATTGCCTCTTATTTTCCCTATAATTACAATTTTGTCATAAATATAATTATCCTGGTATCTCAAAAAGCACAGTGGGTTTTTTGGTCTGGTTACAGGCATAATGTTGATGTACTCTGCTAAAGTTGTATACAATAGGATAATTTAGAGATTTTTCTGACCTTCTCTCCTCTCCCCCTTTCAGGGACTTACAGACACGGCTCAGACAATTTATGAAACCGCAGCTCGAGAACACGAGAGCAGAGGGGTCACTGGTGCCGTGGGCGAGGTCCTGCGCCAGATTCCTCCTGCAGTGGTGAAACCTCTGATTGTTGCCACAGAAGCGACATCAAATGTATTAGGTGGCATGAGAAACCAAATTAGACCAGATGTTCGGCAAGACGAGTCACAGAAATGGCGCCATGGGGAAGACTGATACTTCAGATGCAATTCTTTATGGAGATAGTGAGGGTGGAAGTAAGGAGCATAGTGTCCCATTGGCAGCTTTAGAGGGTACTCATTTAATTTTATTGTGCTCATCTCAGGAACAAAAGCATTTCTTAGTTAAATAATTTAATATCAAAGCAACATGCAACCAAAAACTTGTGACATTTTAGGGCTAGTTTGGTACTTGCCTCGAGAAGTGTTTGGTAGTTAGTGTCAAAAGTTCTTAAGCGTTTGCTGCCAAGTGAGTGGAATGCTTGCTTTTATTAAAATGGCTGTAATTCTCCTTGCTATGGATGAGAGATCATTGGAAGCCTCCTGTTACAGTACAGTGTGCTCAGAAACTTTGAAAGTGCACTTTGAAAGCACTGTTTATGTTGCCCTGAGGAGTTGATTTTTCTCAAGGTCTAAAAAGAATCACAGCTTCGAAACTTTCATTGAGAATGAGAGACAGAAGCTACAGGGAAAGCAAAGCAAATAGGATTTTAATATAAATATCCCTGAGGAATAAATAACCTAGTCTGTTGGATTTAGTGTCCGTGCACTTGAGAACATTATTTCCATTCCCTCAGAAAATCTTATCTGTGGGCGTTGAGAACGTGAATGTCGCAGACATGTTCTGTTGTGTTGCACTTTATTGTGTGTGTGTGTGTGTGTGTGTGTGTGTGTGTGTGTGTAGATTAATACAAGTCATGTGATCTATTCATTATGTAATTTACAGATTTTCACAAAATATAAAGAGGAGTAAGACTGAATGTTTTTGGCAAAGGAAGCTAACTCAGATGTAGTAACTTCCATTTATTTTAAGTGTAAATGAAAATGTGCATTCTATAATGTACTGGGGCCCATATGATTTATATGTTCACTTTTCAGCAGATATAGTGCAAGCTTGTTAGGAATGTGTGGAAAGGGAGATTGGAAATGATTTTTACGTTGCTGAAATTAACCAAAAATCCTCCAAATATGCCCTAGTAAGCTATTTCGAAGTACCATTTTTACTTGGTTAACAGTGTACATTTTGATAACCTGTCAGGAATGAATAAAATATTTTTATTTAAAGGTAAAATTGTTTTATGCTTCCATGAACATTTTGCTTTTCTTAGAGCATATTCATAGATGGGATACTTGGATCCATCCCAAGATACTTGGGAATACTTTCTCGAAACTGATTTTGGTTAATATCAAGTAAATCATTACCTAGGAGTAAGAGGAAAATTGTTCACAAGGACTCACTTTTTGACTTTAGGTGAATCTAGTAGAAAAAATGCAGGACTTTGTGTTCATCCACTGATGTGATGTGAATTTTAATTTTCTGAAGTGGGGAGAATGCCATTCACATGAATTTGGACTTCAGAACTACATTTCAGGTTGGGGTTTGAAAAATGATGTCGAATCGATTCCATTCTCTAGATTTTCTGAACAGGAAAGCAATGTAAGCCAAACATCTGGACATTTAAAATTTATGAAAACTACGTTAACAGCATTTAATTTTTATTTCCTTTTTGTTGCTGAAAAAACTTAAAATAGGCACTACTCACAGAACCATCCGTTACTCTTTCCCAATTAAATGGATTCCATGCAGAATGTGATCCTGAGTAAACAGTAGCCAAGCCCGTGCATCATCGAGAAGGCTTAGCCGGCTTTGGGGGCACCTTCTGACCGCCCTGCTCGCTGACCCCAGGATGCTGCATGCATCCTTAAAACAGAACATACCATGTCTCTTATTTGTGATGATTAATCAAACTGCAAAGCCCTTCATCAACTTAAAAATATAAAATTTCTAATTTTAAAATACATTTTCCATAGTTACACTATTTAAGTTCAGTTAGATATAGTCTAGGGAGAAATAATCTTCTTTGCACTCCTGAGTTGCAAATAGACCCATCTTTTGACAAATTTGGTTGTAAATCCTAGTGTAACATGTATCTTCATATTGTCATTTCCTTGGTTCTCTGTGACCACAGAATCTGGGTTTGGGAACCAGAAACCTGCCTCAGAAAGGCCCAGTATCAAGGCTCTGTTCATTGCCAGTTTAACCAAGATGCTCTTTATTTGAGATGTTTATGTAGACTGTATTTGAACACTTCTGCATTATTAAGTATCCTCAATTTTTTATTCCTTAAAAATGTCTTCTCCAACCTTTATGTCACAGCGACACAGTAAGGAGGGCGTTAGGCACGACCCTTAGGCTGCCAGATCTGCCCTCACTTGGCAGGTGACTTGGCCAAGGCATTAGATTTCTGTAAGCCTCAGCATCTGTCTGTAAACGAAGGGGTTTTGTATGACAAAGCCCAACAGAGATTTTTGGATGATCAGGGTGGGTGTGTGTGTGTGTGTGGTGTGTGTGGTGTGTGTGGTTTGGTAGACTGCCCCGTGTGTGTGTGTGCGTGCGTGTGGGTGTGTGTGGTTTGGTAGACTGCCCCAGACTAAGGGGTTTTGTACGACAAAGCCCAAAAGAGATGGATGATCAGGGTGTGTGTGTGTGTGTGTGTGTGTGTGTGTTGTTTGGTAGACTGCCCCAGACCTGTGACACCCCGGGCTGGGGGTGCTGGAGAGCATGGAGGTCACACCACACAGGGTAGCCACGGGCTCCCTCAGATCTTGGATCTCTGAGTACTGCATTTCTGAGTGGCCACCGGGCCTGTGTGGTTGACTTTGATGAGCTATCCTGCATGGAGTAGACGGTGTGTGTCCACGTGTCACTGCACGGAGGCCATATGGGTGTTTCCCCAGCGAGTCCAGGTGAACAAGCCTGACCAAGATCCGTCAGCGAGTTTTAAGACCACAGTGTTACAGAAGCATGTGAAGACCACTTTATAAAGGCAGCGATACTTCCTCTTGAATGGGGCTGATGTGCATCCCATTTCCCTTCTTGTCTGTCCCCAGATTGCTATTATTTACCAGTAGAACATTCCCTTTTAATATCTGCCTTTTAGGACAGACATAATACAGCCTTTCTTCTAGACACAGCAGTAAACTTTGACTTTAGTGAAGGTTGGGTCCAGTTTGGATTCCCACTTTAAGCACATATATTTCACATCAATATTTTTATAATCTAAGACTCACTTTAGGGAATCTTTCCAAGTCCCAGTGTGCCTAGAATAGCAAAAATACTAAAAACTGATGTTTCCTGCCTCCTGCTGTGTGTCACTTTTAAATGGTATTAAAATATTTCCAGGAAAAATGTCTTAGTTTTTAATCCTCTCCTGTAAAAACAGTGTTCTGTAGGTTTGGTGCCCTTGCTCGGTTTCAAAACCATCTAGGCAGCTCTGTCTGCTGCTGTGCAGGGGCCACTGGCCCAGGGGCGTTGGGCCTGCCTCCAGTGCGTTCAGGTCGGGTTCTGTGCACTGTGTACTCTCCCCAGAGCGGGTGGACAGCAGGCGGTGTTGACTTGGCAGCGGTGTTGACTTGGCAGCCGTGTTAAATGAGAACCCTTCACTACATGGTTTCAGGGTTAACAACTGTCGTGACATTCATTTAAATTGTGTAGATGTGAAAAGCTTCGTGACTTTAATCACTGGCCTTTGCTTCCCTTTTCTTACACCTGCATCGGGTAGAATTCCTCAGAATTACAGGGAGGAGTGTGGCAGGGCTAGTGTTCGTGGTGAGCAGTCACTCCGTTTCCCCTCACATCCTCTTGACCCGCTGAAGACATGAGGGCCAATGTCTGTAAAGTTCCTTGAGCTTGAAAGTAAGGGACTGTCAAAAGCAAAGTGATACTCTTTTGTATCTGCAGACGCATCCATCCACTGGACATACCAGTTGGTATCAAATAGAATAAATCAAACAGAAATTTGTGAGTCTTAGGTTTAACTAGGAAGGCTACTTGTAGAGTGTATAATATAGGGGGGAAAATCTTCTATCAAACACTCTTATTTCTGTTTATAGGAAGGTATAGTTGGTCTTTCCATAGAAGCCTAGTTGTGCGCTTTAGTGCCAACTTCCTTTTATCTCCATATTTTGGGACCATGTAGGCGCACCACCCCCTTTAGCAGACCTTGTAAGCTTACGTGGGGAGTATTTTCCTCGATCCTGTTTCTGTACATCAGACACACAAAAGCTCTTCTAACACACCAGCGTCATGGGCTGTGTTGGGGATGAGAAATTTGAGTTTCAACAATTCACACTGAGAGGTCAGCAGTTTTCAAAAACATCGGGGTCCGGGATTTTTGCCTCCCATCCCAACCGTGGCCACCGTGGTTTCGAGCGTGTGGCTCGGTGGGAAGCGCTGGAGTGCAGGCTGCTGTGCGACTCGGGATGGCCGAGGGGGTGGCGGCGGCCTTGGTGACCCCTCTGGTGCCGTGGGCGGTGGAATTAGCAGCCCCCCCTTTAAGAAGCGTGTTCACTTTGCTGTTTGACTCGTGTTGTGCATACGTGAAATGGCAGCTTCCAGCCTCAGGGTGGGTTTCCTAAGCGGCCGGGGGTGCAGGCTGCACTGGTCACTTTTCCACTGTGGACCGTGGTGGAGGGGGGGGTGCCGAGTTCGGCTCTCCTGCGAATCCCTCCCGACTTAACCTTGGACGTGGAACTTAATCTCACCACAGTGTTGTATGCTCCTTGCTGAGTTCCCTAGTTTCCCTACTTAATTTTGGATGTGAGTACTTTAAGAACGCTACTGCTGTATGAGTCTTTTTGTGGAAATGTAACTCGTCCGTGTGACTATGGAAAATATTATGGAGAGTCTACTTGAAGAAAATTAAAATATTTACTCTTTGGAGTTTGGTTTAAACACTATTGTCTTTCGCCAAGAACGGGTCCCACGGCCTGTACAAAACACTTCTCAGGGTGGGGCTCAGGTCTGTGGCAGATCCTGTTACTGAGACCCCGGTGCTGGTGACGGCAAATCATGATTCAGCCTGCCGCCCGTTTCTGAGCTGCCGGGGGCATGTGATGGTAAAGCTTGCCACTCCTACCCCCTGCAGGGCGTTCGTCACTCTTGTTATCTCAGCCCTGCAGTGTGGACTTGAGACAAACATACCTGCTCGTGTCAGTCCGAGGGACCTGGATAAACATCTGGTAAGTCTGCTCTATATGGGGGAATGTTTTTACTTGTAAAAGAGAGATTTTATTTATTATTTTTGGGGGGGCAGCAAAAAGCAAAGTTTATTAAGCGATAGCAAAGTGATAGTACAAAGCTCCTGAGGAGGGAGGGGGGACCTGAGAGGTTGCCCTAAAAGAGAGATTTTAAAGGAGTACTTTTTAAAGATTTATTTATTTATTTATTTTTTAATTTTTGACAGAGACACAGCGAGAGAAGGAACACAAGCAGGGGGAGTGGGAGTGGGAGAGAAGCAGGCTTCCCGCGGAGCAGGGAGCCCGACGCGGGGCTCGATCCCAGGACCCTGGGATCATGCCCTGAGCCGAAGGCAGACGCTTAACGACTGAGCCACCCAGGGGCCCCCTCCCCCCCTTTTTTTTAAGATTTAAAAAATTTAATTCTTTGACAGAGAGCGAGAGAGGGAACACAGGGGGAGTGGGAGAGGGAGATAAAGGAGTACTTTTAAAGGCAGTCCTTTAAAAGAGGTTTTGATAGGACCGGTGTCACTGTGAAAGCACTCTGAGCTACCAGGGAAACAGCAGGGCACACTTCACACGTGGCTCTTGTGATGGAGGGATAGGAACCTCTGTGCCGTGCTTGCTGCCTGCCGGCGTCGGTGTGCGTGGGTTCTTTCTGTAACCTCAGGGCCCCTCGGAGAGGCGGTTGGTGCTGTCCCTGTTTTCCAGAGAAGTCAAGAACCTTGCTGTGGCCACATGCTGTGACTCCCAAACCCCATGCTCATCCTGGGACGTCATTTAAGGGGACCTTGCACAGTTGTCTGAATTAGTGAAAGCTCATCACTAATTAGGAAACTAAGAAAGGAATTCTGCTAAAAGATTAAGGTTCACGATTCTTAGAATGCTTGAGCCTAAGGCAAGAACAAACTTGCTTCTCCATCTCTCACCTGCATCTCTAGCCCTGCTCCCCTCTCCTGGCTGGGCACCAGCCGCTCTTGTCCTTTGGTTCTGCCACATCCCTGTATGCAGGGGTTAGAGATCTTTCTTTTTCCTTTCTTTCTTTCTTTTTTTTTTTTTATGATGTTCAGGCCCCACTCAGCACCAACTAAATAAGAATCTGCGAATGGGACTAAGTCAGGGTCTCCACACCTTAGCAATTTTGACATTTGGGGCTGGTTAATCCTCTGTTGGGGGGCCGTCTTGTGCACTGCAGGATGTTGAGCAGCACATCCTTGGCCTTACCCAGTAGAGGCAAGTAGCACCCCTCAACAACTGTGAAAACCAAAATGTCCGCAGCTACGGTCAGATGTCCCCTGGGTGGCAGAATCCACCTGTGCAAACCGCTGGGCTCACAGCTCCCCTGGGGAAATAATGTGCCTCCTGGAGCGAGAACAATGCCTAAGAGCCTTCCCACATTCCTCTCCAGAATGCTCTGCCTGTTTCCTCCTTGTTGCAACTTAAAAGGTGACCATTTTCAGACAGGGCCAGCCACCCTACCTACCTCTTTATTCTCCATTATCGCACACATGCCTTGAAACCGTGGTCCTGCTCTCCCAAGTCCACACTGACTTGTCTCAGTGTTTATTGCCTGACACCCTCTGTGAGGGCAGGGCGCACACGCACCTGGCGCCTGGCACCGGGCCTTGCCCAGAATCAAGGCATCGGGGCCTAGTGAATGAATGAATGAACCTTAGCACTCCTATCGTCCTACACAGTCACTTTGCAGTGAGGATGTCAAGGCCAGAGAGGCAAAGTTATGTGCTCAAGATCACATGATTAGTACTTGAAGATGTCCTTTGTTCAATGCAGTTTTACTTGCTTGGTTTTAGCAATATGTGAGGATACCAGTACATCCATAAACATAAAATAGGTGAAAACCCCATATTTGTTCAGTATTTACTCTGGGACTGCCATGCTCAGGACTCCTCCCTGTGGCATTCACACTCAGCCTCAGCCGGGGCCCTGGCGGACGGCCACACGGACGACTGGCAGCAGCCGTAAAGAAGGGACTGACGGAGCCTTGGCGGGCAGGGCCAGGGAGACCACGGCTACCTTGGAGCCTCTTTCACGTTCAGCTCTGGGTCCGTCCTGGGCCTCCCAGTCGGGGGTGATTTCTCGCCTTCTGAGAAGCCGCTGGAGCAACGTAAGCCTCCTTGCAGGCCCGAAGGGACAGAGAGGGAGAGGTTCCCAGAACCTGCAGCCAGAGGAGGGGCCGCCTGACCAGGGCGGTGGCCTTGCATGCCGGGCAGTAAGCCGAGGGGCGGGAGGAATAGATCCCCCCCTCAGGCTCCTACCCTCCCATGTGCTGCTGGAGCCCCCGAGGGGTAGATAAGCGCCACCCAGCCCTCGAGCATCCTCTTACTTGTATTTGTGTTAGTCCTTCTGCAGGGGATGAAACTGATGCTTAGGAGAAGCGGCCTGTCCAAAGCCACACAATCTGCTTGTCAAGGAACACTCGTCACCAATGACAGATGAAGCCCCCAAACCCAGCCGCGTTTCATCCTCATGAAGTTCAGTCGGTGCTCCTCAATACGCGGCAGCTCTCCTCAAGTGGGGATGGAGGAGCCCAGGCGTCCCCTGTCTTGTAGCTCTGCCTCCCCTGGACGGGGTGGGGGTGGGGAGGAGGACAGCCTGGCTCTGGCGTTTGCCCACCAGCTGTAGGTCAGAATCCTGGCCCGTGACCACACCCAGCCCGAAGGGAACCTGACGTCGCCGCCTTGCTGTGTGTCTAGGAAGGGAGGAAATGGGAGTTGGTGAGCGCCTGGCCAGACTGCTACGTGTAGCTCATAACTTGGAATTTGCATCCAGGAATGTCTGCAGACCCACACTTAGCAGCACCCTACTGGAATTACAAGTAGTTTCCCTCCAAGACAATTTGCCACCACCAGAGTTGGAGCTTCGCCCCTGCCCCCGGCTTGTTTATATTCCTGAAAGCAGTTCCACATGGAGCAAATAAAATTCGGCAAACAAATTTGCTGAGTAACGAGGCAGGATGGTATAATGTAGCCGTCCTCACAACTTGTCGGCACACTGAAACCACTGGAGGAGCTTTTAACAATTCCAAAATTCGGGCCCCACCCACGACCAATTAAGTCAATCCCTGGGGCATATTTTTGAAGCTCCCCGCGTGCGTGACTCGTGTGCAGACAAGTTTCGGTACCACTGGTATAGTAGCTAAGAATACAGATTTTAGACCGTCAGACTGCCTAGCGCTGGATCCAGGCTTCAGTATTTGTTAGCTGTGTGGCCTTGGGGAAGATGTTTAACCTCTCTGTGCTTCCGTTTCCTCCTCTCTAAAACAGAGATGATAATATGGTTGTCGTGAGGATTGTGTGAGTTAATGCATGAAAGTGCTTAGACTAGTGTCTCACACACTGTATCATGTGAGCGTTAGGGGTAGTTAACTATTTCCTGAATGCTTACTGTGTGCCAGGTCCCAGGTGAGAGCTGAAAGACGTCCCCTTGGTCTTGGGGAGCTCAGAACCCAGTGGGAAGACATCGATTAGACCCAGCTAATCATTCCAGCCATTTGCCCCTTATAAAATGGAAATCAATATGTTTTGCTCCTGAGAGATCAAGTGATATTCCACAAAACTGAAGCAGAAACTACTCAGAGCAATTTTAGACTTGGAATTCCTGCTTCTGAAGACCCCACCTGGTCTCTCCTTTCCCTCGGCCATGCAAACTTCCTGCTTCCCTGGCTTTAAACACAGATCGGGGGGAGCCTGGGGCTTGCTGGGGGAGCCGGCTCCCTTTTTAGCTGATGTTCAGGATTGCCTAGTTACAGGGAAATTTGACTTGGAGGGTACATCCTGGTTAGCATTTGGAAATAAAAGTCAAAGAGGGTGCTGGAGGCAAAGTCGTTGGGGCTTGGGGACAGCCGAGAAAAGCGAACCCTACCACGTCCTTACCGTAAGAATTTCTAGGCTATCAGCAGAGGGCAAACCATTCCTTTTTTTAAAAAGATTTTATTTATTCATTTGAGAGAGAGAGACAGAGCACACAAGCAGGGGGAGAGGCAGAGGGAGAGAGAAGCAGGCTCCCCACTGAGCCAGCTGGGAGCCGGAAGTGGGGCTTGATCCCAGGACCCGGAGATCACGACCTGAGCCAAAGGCAGATGCCCAATCATCTGAGCCATACAGGCACCCCACACCATTCTTTTAAATTTAGATTCCATTGAGGAATAAAGGAGAACATGGCTGCTTGGTGCAAAGTATAATTCTGTTTCCAAAACCCTAACGTGAGCCTTTGTCGGCCCAGATGTGGCCCAATTATTTTTAGAGCGAGGGAGACCTCAGGGCTCTAACTCCAAAATGCATTTAACATGTGGTAAAAGTTAAGCGCAATCCCCCTCCCTGTTCCACTCTGCTTTTAAGAATCAGTATCAATGTCACAGCTCCACACTCAGAAATCCCCCCTTTCATTTGTGACGGACACCCCTAAAGCCAAATAAACACCTCTCTTCTCCATTTCAGTTTAAACTAAAGTTTTTCTTTTAAGATTTTCCCCTTCAGAACATACTATTGTCTTCAAAACTCTTTTTAATTCTTCTTACGGGCTTTCATTTTGAAAGCTGTTTTCTTAGCCTTTATGTCCTGTTTGCTGGCGTTTTAGCCACTCTCCATCCCAAAGAGTGACCTTGAGTAAGTCACTTAACTCTGCAGCGTCTCAGTTTCTCCGTGATTTATCCGTCCGATAGATCCTGACAAGGGGAAACACCGAGCCAATGATACACCCGTTTAAGTGTGGGTGTCTGTTGCCAATTTTCCTCTTGTGGAAGTGATACCTACTAACATAACCCCAACAAAATTAATCACTAGAACATTTTTTTATTATTTTGAAGAGATCTTTAAACAACCGTGTTCCAGAGAAATCCTTGCCTTTTCTCATTTCTATGTTCTGTTAAGCTTTGGAACCTGTATGTTGTAACCCTTTTAAGGGCTTTGGAAATTTGTGCAGAATCCTCGGTGGGGAAAAGAGCAATCCTCCGCGGGGGCCAGCAGGGGGCGCCCGCTCCCTTCCCGAGTGGAATTCAGCTCGGCAATTGCCCCGCGCCGAGCCTTCCAGCAGCAGCGTAGCTGAGCCTGCGCAGAGTCAATCCCCGCCCCGCCAAACCCCCGCCAGGTACCGTGGGAAAGTTTGGGGAAAATCCTGTCCCTGCCCTCTCGCCAGGCTTTTCCGTGGCAGCGTCCTCTTCGTCGAAGACACTGCTTAAATTAAAAATAAAAATGTCATTTAATTTCACATTTGATTTCTCCCTGTAAATAACTCCCCTGGGTGGTAGCTGCACCAGGGCCCTCTCTCAATCTCTGTGATATTGCCCCTGGGGGAGTTGTCACAACAGGCTGATAAGGGAATATTTGGGGCATGAGGTAATATTCAGATAAAGGTCTCTGGTGGTTTTTCCTGCAGGGGTATCTAAAGGTGAGCCTGCAACAGAAGCCAGTTTAAGCTTCTGTGCTGGATTCCTTCCTCTGCTGAAGATGCAGGCCCCAGCCCCCTAACCCTGCCACTCAGGGCTGGGACGAGGGGGAGGGAGGGGCATGGGCCTTGGGCACATCAGTAATCAAGATAAACAATAATTTAATGCTATGTTCTTAAAAAAAAAAAAACCCCACATGAATGCACAAACATCCATGATGAGCAAAACATCAGCATTTTATTTTTTATAAGATCTTATTTATTTATTTGAGAGAGAGAGCACAGCTGGGGGCAGAGGGAGAGGGTGAAGCAGCATCCCCGCTGAGCAGGGAGTCTGACTCAGGACTCGATCCCAGCACCCCGAGACTGTGACCTGAGTGAAGGCAGACGCTTAACTGGCTGAGCCACCCAGGCGCCCCTTTTCTATTTTTTAAATAGGTAATAACTTTATTTTTAAAAGTAAGCTCTATGCCCAACATGGGGCTTGAACTCACGACCCCGGGATCAGGAGTTGCTTCTTCCGCTGACTGAGCCACCCAGGCGCCCCAAAACACTAGCGTTTTAAATAAAGATCTGACCCTGCACCTCCAAGCGCCTCTGATGTCACCTTTGGCCAGGTCCTGTTGGATCCTGGCTTCCACTGTGGGTACTTGGCCAGGTCCTGTTGGATCCTGGCTTCCACTGTGGGTACTTGGCCAGGTCCTGTTGGATCCTGGCTTCCACTGTGGGCACCTGTCCGTCATGACTGAGCCTCGTTTTCCCTTCCTTTGCTCCCCTTTCCCAGCCTCACCCCAAGGTCGGCAACAGGATGGCGGAGGGGATATTTGGGACTTTGGGAGAGGGTCCAGGCGTTGACTGGAGGAATTTATTGTTAAGCACCGGGGAATGTCACCGAAACCAATTGTGATGAGTTGCTAAAAATACTGTCGCTATTTGGGCTGGAGGAGAGATGGCTATGATGGAACGAGCAAACACTGGCTGTGTGTGCAGCGCACGCCAGAGACGGTTCTGCACGACTCTGTATGCTTGGCCCTTCAGTCATGCCAACTGTTGTTTGTGCGGGCCTCCCGCTTGGACACCCCCTCTTGAGTGTGCCCGCCTCCAAGCCTCCCTATGTCCTGCTGTCCTGACACCATGGCTTCTCCCCCTCCCTTCGTTCAAGGCTTCAAGCCTGACGGCCCTTCACCTCCAAGAAGTCTCCCCAGACCACCAGCCTTTCCTTGAAGCCATCGCTGAAGAACTAGATCACATGAGCTAAAAGGTTGATGGGCCTTTCCAGGCTGATGGGCCTCTCAGTTGGGGGTGGGGGGTGATCTTGCTCCCACAGGACATTTGGTAATATCTTGGGACATTTCAGCTGTCCCACTGGGGCAGGGCTTCTAAAGTCTAGTGGTAGAGGGGAAAGGGCTGAGGTGCTGCTAAACATTGTACGTGGCCCCAGGCAGCTCCCACACCACAAAGAGCTGTGTGGCCCAAAATGTCCGCAGTGCCAAGAAACCCGGGATCAAAACTTGCTAAGGTTTTACCGCGGGTTTGGTGAAAAGTGTCTCAGGAATCTGGTTTGCATTTCACCACCGGGCTTTCATGTTTTTGTCTGAGGAGTGACAGATGTTTGGAATTTGAGTCCCTCGAAGTGAGGGTTGGGCAAGGTAATGGGAGCTGGGGTTGGAGGACACTGTTTCCCTGCCTGAGCTTGGAACTAAGTGAGGCAGTCAAGAGTCAGCAGATGGAGGCCACAATGTCACCTTCACGACTGAGGAGGGCTTGGTGGGTGATGTCACTTCGATGTGTGGCATCAACAGGTTCGTAATTCTGAACCCCAGAATCAGGCCAACTTAGCCACAACGCCCAGGCAGTGCAGGCCATTTCCTCCACTGAGGCAGAGCGTCTAGCGCTAAGTTGACCTCATGGCTGAGAGAAGACCAGTCTGTGGACAAAGTGGGAATGGGGGAAGGCAGCAAGCTCTATAGGCTCAATTCTTGTTTTGAAACCAGTCAGGTCACTTTTCTTCCACAGAGAGGAGTAAACAGTGGGCAACAGGCCAGGGGCGTAGGGAGCTATCCTCAGTGAAACCTGGTGGGTCAGTCAGGATGGGAGGGGTTCTGCTGCGTAACAAACATCCCCTGACGCTCCATGGCTCACAACCACCGAGGTTGAGTTCTCTTACTGCATGTTTCATGCAGGTGGGGTAGGGGCTCTGCTCTTCTAGGAACTCAGGGGTCCAGGCTGACGGGCCTCCACATCTTAATGACATCACCTTCTTGACACAAGCCTTCGGGGTTTGCTACAGCAGAAGAAGAGAGAATTGCTTCTGCCTCAAAGCAAATACAAGTCCCCTGGCATTGGCCAAAGGAGTTGAGAGGACCACTCTCAGCCTCCACAGCACGAGGAAGTTCAGTCCCCGCTTCCCAGAAGGACGGGAGGCCTGGAACTGTTGCTGGACAGCAGAAATGTCTCTTACAGAAGAGCGAGGACGAGGAATGGCCCGGCCCTCCCCTCACCTCACCCTGTCAGCACCGGGCAAAGGTACTTCCATTCGAAAGACAGGGTGTTTGGGGCGCCTGGGTGGCTCGGTCGCTTAAGCATCCAACTCTTGGTTTCAGCTCAGGTCGTGATCTTAGGGTCATGAGATCCAGCCCCGAGTCAGGCTCTGTGCTTAGCGCCGAGTCTGCTTGAGACTCTCTCTCCCTCTCCCTCTGCCCCACCCCCCTCTCCTCCCCCCTCAAATAAATAAAATTTTTTTTTTAAGATTTTATTTTTTTGACAGAGACAGAGACAGCAAGAGAAGGAACACAAGCAGGGGGAGTGGCAGAGGGAGAAGCAGGCTTCCCCGCTGAGCGGGGAGCCCGATGCGGGACTTGATCCTGGGACTCCAGGATCATGACCTGAGCCGAAGGCAGTCGCTTAACCAACTGAGCCACCCAGGCGCCCCTTGAAGCTCCTGTCTTCCTGCTCATTATCTTAAATCCAGTGCCAGGCACTGGGAGTCTGCCATCAGGAAGGCAACTCCGATGGTGGGATCCCTGGCACTCAGGCCTGTTCTCTGACCTCACAGTCTGGTGGGCATCCCTGGGTCTGAACAGAGCCGTGCCCCAGGAGTCCAGCTCACTGGGTAACCTCGGGAAAGTCTCTGCCTATGCCTGGGCCTCAGCTTCCTTAACTGTAAAACGGAGGGGTTCAACTCGATGATACACACACACACACACACACACTTTTTTATTAGATTCACAGAGAGATCCTCTGTGCTCTTTACTCCATTCCCCCTGTGATGACTTCGTGTGTAAGTATGGTGCAATGTCACAACCAGGAACATTTTCAGATTCTAGCCAGATTGGGCTGGTTTGACACTCACTCATTTTAATTTAGTTTAAAGCCTTTTCTAGCATGTAGGAGAAAACTTCCTGCTTGCTCCTCATCAAGCTCGTGACTCATCTCCAGAGGACAAGAGCCTGCCTGTGTCCATTGCAACACCCAGGAGTCTCCCCGGGCTGGGATTTGGGAGTGTGTAGCGCTATTCAGAGCCCACCCCACGGATGGGGTGATGGCTACGGCGGGGGAGTGGGGAGGGCGGCTGTGGACTGACATAACAGGCCTGCACCTGGGACTGGGTTGGAAAAGAAACTCCATGTCTCTCCTTTGGCCCTTCTCAGACAGAAAGTGGGAGCCCACCTGGGTGCTGGAGCCAGGGATGCTAGACCATGGGCTCACTCATCCCTCCATGGCAGGTATTAGCCCTACAAGGTGAGGCTTGGGGCTGGACCCACGTGTGAAATCCTCCAGGTCGAGCACATCGCCCAGATCCGCGCCAATTCAAAAATTTAATCTCTCCCGCAGCACTGATCCTTTTAACCAAGGCAGGAATTTCTCCCTCTGCAGAAGAATACTTGACGTTGTCAGTGGAAGGACAACGGAGCCCTCACCGTGGGCTGCAGGCTTCTCTTCCCGCAGGGCTGCAGGCCAGGCTTCAGTGTCGGTTACACTCGTTCCAGAAATCCGGTGTCCGGCTCATCGAGACCGCGCCAACAGCCTGCCGCCGGATAAGGCATGGGAGCCCGCGTGCTCTAGATGGTGGGACCGTCTTTTGCAACCCCTAGAGAGCATTTTGATAAGCCACAGCTTGAGTGCCGGGGGCTGAGAAAGCAGCAAGAAGGACATTTTCGGGTCAGTTTGCTCTGAGCAGAGGAGAGACTGGGCCTTATCTCTCCTTTCCTTCGCTCTACTTCTGCCCGATATTCCTGTCCTGGCTGCTCTGTACAGGACTTTGCTCCCGGGATTCCTGCCCCGGCGTCGGTGTTGGGAAGCAAGCAAGCTGATGACTCTAGCCTCTGCTCCGTGGGAGGGGGCTGTAGCCGCTGGAGGGGGGCCCTGCTCTCAGTGCCAGAGAACTGGTGTCCTAGGGGGGCACCCAGAAGTCAGCGCCAGGGGGCCCCTGCTGGGCTCCCAGCACCCACGGCAGTGTCTGGCACGGGCTAGAGGCTCCGTAAACATCTGCCTAAGGAAGGAATGCAGGCTCCCTGTTGCCTGATCTGCCGATGCTCAAGGGAAGCCCAAAATCGGGATTCTTAGGTGGAATTTAAATATTGGTCACCAGCTCAAAAATAGTTTTTTTAAACACCGTGCGATCTAAATACATGGGCCAGCTGGAGCCTGGCTTGTTGACTTAAATCCCTGCTCTCCGGGGGCTGGGGCACTGATTGCAGGGTGGTCACTGCTCGCCTCCGAGGGTCTGGCGGCCCAGGCCCCGCCAGCCTCTTAGATCCCATCGGCAGGCTCCAGGAGCACTGGCTTCCTTGCCCTTTCTCGAATGCACCTGCCTGCCTGCCTGCAGGGACCCTGTGGGATGTCCATCCCCTACCTCTCCATTCCTTGACCGCCTTGTCACCAATGACCTTCTCCTTCTCTTGATTCCAGCTGCCCGATGCCACGGCCACGTGGGGGATGGAATGTTCCATGCAAACACTCTTACTCCGTGGCCTCAACCTCCTATTCCTGTGCTCTGTCACCTAGGTGCTCCCACTGCCCCTGCTCTGTAACTGCATCCGTGTCACTCTGTCTCCCTCACCTCCTAAGTCCATTCCTTCTCTAATTCAGCCAGTCTCCATAGTCAGACCAGTATTCCCAACACCCTGAACGATGGCCGTCCTCCGGCAAAACCCCAGCCCTGGAGATACCCAACTGACTGCCTGTCTGGGGCCTGATGAGCATGGCTAGCGTAATTCACACAACAGATCAATGCCTTCTAGCTTCAGCCGGGCCCTCCCTGCTTCCCCCCTGCCCTTGGTCGTCTTGTCCTCACCCTCCGTGACTGCCATGTACCTCTCCTTCCTTCATCCTTCTCCCTCCGAGCCTATAAACCCACCCGTCTCTGGGTGGAGCGTGTTTCTTCTGCCTGGAACGCACCTTTTTCCTATTTGGTTCGGCCAACTGCTTGTTCTTTGGATTCAGCTTACAGGCCCTGTCTCTTTCTCCGGGAAACCCTCCAGACCCCTCCCCTCCCAGCCGCCCACCCTGGGCGCCCTTCTCTGTGCTCAGAACACCTCTTCTCATGTGGTGGGGGCAGTTACCCTGCTCTCTGGTTCTCTCCGAGCTCCTTGAAGGCAGACTTTTCCAGGTTCACCGCTGGGTCCCCCATGGCAGGAAGAATACAGAAGCATTAAGAGTTTCATAAATACTCTTTCCTGCGTAGCGCCCATGTTCCACCTGCGTGTCCCGGTTATGCCTCTGCCAGGCCTCCCTCCCCTCCCTCCACGCATCCAGATTCTGCCCTTCCTGAAACTCAGCTCCCCGTTGACCCGCTTCAGCACACCTCTCCTGACAGCCCCTTTTCCCTCTGAACGCTCAGGGTGCTGGATATGGGGCGTGCTTCTGCGATTTCTTGTTTTCTTTTCTTTTTTTTTTATTCTAATGATTTATGCAAGTTCCTCGTGGATGGGATCCCTAGCTCTATCATCTCTGTATGCCTAGCTGTTAGCCTAGAACCTTTTGGATGGGCACGTGGCAACGTGGGCAGAGACCCTTACTGGAAGTTTCCCGTGGATGCTGGAACAAATTAGCCCAAACTCGGTGACTTAAAACAACACGACTTTATTGTCTTCTCCTTCTGGAGGCCAGACCTCTGAAGTCCGTCTCAGTGGGCTCAAGTCCAAACGTGTGCAGGGCTGGCTTCCTCTGGAGGCTTGAGGGGGAGAATCCTTCTCTGTCCCTTTCCCAGGCCCTAGGGGGCGCCAGCAGCCCCCGGCTCCGGGCTCCCGGATTCACTCCTGCATCTGCTGTCCCATGGCCTTCTCTGGCCGCTTCTCTTTTATCAGGACCTTTGTGATGACACTGGACCCGCTCAGATAATCCAGGATCATCGCCCCATCTCAAGACCCTTAGCTTAATCACATCTGCAAAGTCCTCGTACCATAAGAACACCCAACAGTTTCCAGGGACGAGGTCCTGGCCGTCTGGGGGGGGGGGGGGGGGGGGGGGGGGCGCTCATTCTGGAGCCCACTCCAACAGCATCTATTATGTCCGGAATCACTGATGAGGAAGCCAAGCTTCGTGACTCCCTGCTGTGTTACTTCCGCCAGAAATGTTGGAGAACGCCCGTCCTGTGGGGCAAGGACCCTGGAGGAAGCCTTCGAGCGGCGCATTGCTGATAAAGTTCCCAGGCCTTGGTCCTGAAAAGCCGGCCCACGAAGACGTAAATCACCGGGTTCAGGCAGCTGTTGATGAAAGCGAAGAAGTTGGCATACTGCAGGCCCAGGTCGATGAAATCCTCCCAGAAGCAGCCTCGGACGGCCCGCACCTGGTAGAGGAACTCCAGGAAGGCGAAGAAGTGGTAGGGGGCCCAGCACACCAGGAAGGCAGCCACGAGCGCGAGGATGAGCACCGCGGCCTTGCGGCCCGTGCGGCCCCCGGCCCGCGCCCCGGGGACCCCCGCCCGCCCGCGCAGCGAGGCCAGGATGTGGCCGTTGAAGAAGACGATGGCGGCCAGCGGCAGCAGGAAGCCCAGCACGTTTAACTCCACCATCCTCAGCCAGTGCCAGGCGGCGCCGGACGGCAGCAGCACGCAGGCGCAGGAGTTGTTGAGCGGCGGCACGGCCGCGGTGGAGCGGAACAGGAACGTGGGGACGCTCAGGAGGCCGCCCAGCGTCCAGATGAGCAGGCAGGTGGCCTGGGCCCGCCGCCGCCGCCGCCGCCGCCGGCTGGCCACCGGGTGCACCAGTGCGCGGTAGCGGTCCCGGCTGATGGCCACCACCAGGAAGATGCTGATGAACAGGTTGGCCTTGATGACTCCATTGACCAGGCGGCACAGGGGGCCCCCGAAGGCCCAGCGGAATTGGTTGGCGATGTTCTCCGCCCAGAAGGGCAGGCCCGAGACGAACACCAGATCGGAGGCGGCCAGGTTGGCCAGGTAGATTTCCGCCACGCTCAGGCGCCGCCGGGGGAGGAGGAAGACCGACAGCACGAAGAGGTTTCCCAGCAGGCCGCAGATGCAGATGACGATGATGAACGTTGGTAACACCCTGTGCAGCACGGCCCAGGCCTCTTGAGCGCCGTCACAGGACGTGGCACTGGGGGGCGACAGCTGCGTCCGGTTCAGCGACAGGAACTCCAGGGGGGTCCGGGCCGCCATCCACAGGGACCTGCACTGAACGGCACGCAGCGTCAGGTGGGAGGCCGCCCGCCGCAACCCGCCGACCGCCTCCAGCCCGCCCCGCAGGTTTGGAAAAATCAAGTTTTCTTGGCACGCGGCCACACCTGTTCATCTACATATTGTCCGAGGCTGCTTTTGTGTGGCAGCGACAAAGGCTGCGTGGCTTGCAAAACGGCCAATATTTGCCATCGGGTCCCCTTGAGGAGATGTTGGCCGACCCCTGATATAAAGGAAAGGACTAGGGCTTTGAAAACCGGGTCCGAACCCTGGCACAACCACTTGATGTGGGCCACTGAGACCCCACTGACTTTTATTTCCCTTTTTGGAAGTCGAAGCCGATCGTGTCCCTCTAGTGGGATTGTGGCCAGGACTGGCCATAGGATCTATGGAGCGCTTGGCGTGGTTGCCTGGTCCGGAGGAAGGGCTCAGTGGAAGGGGCTGATCAGTCTTACTTACTTACTAGATTACTGGGGCTCCTGCATGGCTCAGTCGGTTAAGCATCTGCCTTCAGCTCCGGTCATGATCCCAGGGTCCTGGGATCGAGACCCACCTTGGGCTGCCTGCTCAACAGGAAGCCTGCTTTTCCCTCTCCCACTCCCCCTGCTTGTGTTCCCTCTCTCTCTCCCTCTCTCTCTCTCTCTCTCTCTCAGGCACATGTGCGTGTGTATAAATAAATAAAATCTTAAAAACCAACCACATTATTATTGTTAACAGTTTTGTCAAACATTTAATGAGCACCCCCTTTGTGCCAGCCCTTTGCCAGGTACCAGAGATACAGGGAACGGGACATAGCCCGCAACCTGCAGGTGCTCACTGCCTAGAGGGGGTGCAGCCATGGAGACAGTGGTCGACGACCTAAGAAAGAATCAAGAAGGGCCAGAAAGAGGTACAGCCAGCGGGGAGGCCCACCCGTGGGGGCAGAGACCAGCAGGGTGGACGACGTGGGGGCAATGGTGGGAGGTTTCCAGAGCAAGGAGGTTCTCAAGCTGGGCTTGAAAAATACAAGTAGGAAAAGAATAGCAGCTCACACTGATGAAATGATCTCTATCTCCAGGCACCATTCTAAGACTTTCACATTTAAATATTTTTTCATTTAATTTTCCCAACATCTCGGTGGGGGCAGGAGCATTGTCCTCTCCATTCGACTGCTCAGAAAATGGAGTGTCAAGGGACCCATCACTCCTCCGTAGTCACACTGACCTGGACCGTCTGATTCCAGAGCCTGAGCCTCTGTCTACTCGACCCTACTGCACGTTTTGTCCCCACTTGGTAGATGAGGAAGCCAGGCTCCGATGTTAACAACCTGTCCTGGGAGACCTCGGTCCGCGCTGACCCCTAGCCACACAGCTGGCTTGCCTCCCACGTGCCCACGCTGAGGTTCAGGGGGAGAGGGATGTGGTGGGAAGGAAGCCGACCATGCCTCCCAGCCCTCTGGACCCCACAGAAAAGAAGGGACCATATCCTGTACTTGTGGGTTTGTGGGCACCTGCCAGCAAAGCTGGCCACAGCCGGCTCAGGGGACCCATGTGGTCCCATTCACACGGCAAGCAGCTGCCTGCACTGTGGGAGTTCTGGGGCTTCACACCTAAAAATCTTACCCCCACCCCAGACGAATTAATATATGCAAAGGGCTTAAAATGGTTCCTGGCTTTTCGTAAGCACTCGATAAATGTGAACTTTTGTTATCATTACTGTTACTACTTGGTGATGCTTGAGATTCCTTCAACTGGGCATGGCCTCCCAGCATCCAACAGAAGATACTGTGTGAGAGAGAACCAATCTTGGAAGAGCCTCTTTGGCCGTGTGACCTTGGGCAATCACTTAGTGTCTCCGAGCCCGACTTTCCTTACCTGAGGACACGATGACCTTCAAGTTTTGACACTGTTGGTGACACACACTGTGCCACTCACACCAAGATATAACTCACCAGTTCCTCCGTGCATTTATCTACTGAACTAGTACTTATTGAGCACCTACTGTGTACCTGGTGCTGTTCTAGGTATTTGGGACACAGCAGTGAATCCACCTGGCAAAAACCCCATGCCCTCAGGGGGCCTCTAGCCTAGTGGGAAGAGCGAGCCCACAACAATGAGTGTACTGAATAAATGTGTTAGCTGGGGAGTGGTAGCAGTGGGGATGATAAGATGGAATCAGCTTCTAGATTTGTACTGAAAGTAATACTGCCATGATTTTCAATCGGATACAGGTTGTGAGAAAGGAAGGATCGGATGTTGCCAGGAAATACAAAGAAATATGAAGTTGCCATCAACTGAAGTAGAGGTCACAGACTGAAGACAGGGCAGGATTTTTTGTGTGTGCCGGGGATCAGGAGTTCACTCTTGGACACGTCAAGGTTGAGATGTCCATTGGACACCACCTACGTAGTCAAGTTTGGTATGCAGTGACAAGGTCTGATACAGTGATATGTAAATGGGAGTTGTGATTACCTAGATGGTGTTTAAAGCCACAAGACTGGATGAAATCACCAAGGGAGAGTGTAGACAGAGAAGAGAACAAGGGGCTTGGCCACCAGGGGGCAGGTGAGTGGGAAACACGGCGAATTACGGGTCGGGTGGCTGTGGAGTGTCTGTGGCATGTAGGAGCTCTGACCCAGAGCGTACGGAAGAGTCAGGATACTCTTGTGCTGTCAACTCTTGCAGGGCATAAATCCACAACTAAATATTTATTCGGTTATTTGGAAATACTTTTTTTTTTTAAATTCTTTCCTACGTAAGCTCCACGCCCAACATGGGGCTCAAACTCACGACCCTGAGATCAAGAGTTGGATGCTCTACCGACTGAGCCAGCCAGGCGCCCCCTGGAAATACTTTTAAATTTTGCAATATGCCCTTTCTGGCAGTGATGAGCTAAAAACTGAAAGCAATGAAAATTTTAGCAGTGAGCTTCTGTTTCTCAAGGAAGTTGGTGATGAAATGTGCAAGTTTTACAGAATGTTTGCTGATATTTACATCACTGTGGGGGCTTTCACTGACCACAAGAATGCCTAAGACGCAAAAGCTCCACTTTAGAAGTTGGTGCTTTTAAAAAATCTGCCCTAAGACACTGATCGCACCCATGGAAGCGTGGCTTTTCAACTTAGACGAAGCAGCTGTTCTGCAAATTAATTCAGCTGATTTTTGGTTCCAGTTTTTCTCCTACACAGACAACAGTGGAGGTGGTGGCTGATTATGGGGCAGTTTTGTAAGAACACCACAGACGGGGAGTTCTTGGTGCCAGTTTGATATCAGTATCTTCAGATTCTTCCACTAGAAAAATCAGTCTGTGCCAATCATGATCCAATTCACGGACCCAAAACCAAGCTTCTGGAAGTTCAGTCTGGCCGAACGGAACAACGGACTTCTGGGAAATGCTATTCTAAATTCAGTTTAAATTGTTTACATTGGAAATAGAGTTATATTTTTGTGATGGTAATACAAAGACAGATTTTGCTGGGGCATGGTGTCATGGTAACAGTTACATTCTTACTAAATAAGAGACCAATGAAATAGAAATGTACTTTGAACAGGCCACAGTGCAAACACAGTTTATAATCGCATGCAAAAACGTTTCAATATTCTACCAAATGATATAGAGATGATAGGTGACAAAATTTAGAAAATTTAAAGACGTACGCAGAGTTATTGAACCACAAGCTTTTTGTAGTGAAGTTGACGGTGAATTAAAAAAACAACAACAACAAACCCTTCAGCATGTATTTCTTTTCTTTGCTGCCCATCATCAATCAATTTTATAAGACCTTGAGCCTAAATGCCTGAAAGTGTTACTAAGCTGTTTGTTAAAAGAGAGCTCTACATTTTTTGAATTTTGTTCCGAATCAATTGGAAATCTTTAATCAAGGTGTTCAAAGAACAGAGCACCAAAACATCCACTTTTGCGTGTCTAGCAGATTGTAATGATAGAAAACGAAGCTGTTATGCAGACAATAAAGGAAATGTGTTGCAAAAGGGAACAAATGATTAAATCAGAGTGTGAGAGCTCAGTGGCACACAAGATTTAATTTTAAAAATTCTGTAGTGAGCTTTGAAATACCTGTTTGTGGGAAGAATCTTTTCAATTGAGTAAGTTCATGTTCTGTACAGAAATGGGACAAAATTGAGAACACCTACCATTCACAGCATCTAAGCTTGACAAAGAGTTCAAAAATTGTAACTGCAACTTATTTGTAGAGCTGAATCTGGTAAAAATATTTGTTGAAGAAAGCCACTTTGAACTAAAGCATAAAGGCACACCACCTGTGAAAATATCTGGACTAAAATATTTACATCATTTTATATGCAAAGAGTCAGACTTGAGAATAGCCCCCACTTTGCAGAACTTGCTCAGAGTGTATCAGGCACCTGAGCACCTGCCTCCGCCACATTTTCTTAAATAAATACGTTCTAGTCTAAGAGAAGGGTCAATTGAAGGTGCTAACTTAAATTTATTAACTGTAAAATTTGAAGGCAAATATTTCAGCAAGTATATGGAACAATTAAAAGTAGTAAGACCAAGCGGAAAGAAAAATTCATTCTCCAGGAAAATGCCAAAGACATACCCAAGTCAGGCACAGATTATAGCCCGTGGATATGTACCAAACCAATCTATTTTGCTTATGTTCTTTTTCAATGTTCAGCTCAGTAACATAAAAACTTTTATTTTGCCTTAATGTATGTGGGTATATATATATATATATACTTAAAGACATGACTATTTTTGAAAACAAGTTTTTAACTAGAACTACTTTATAACTCCATCACTATAATATGGCCAATCTGTTGGGGGGTGTGTGTATAGAGACAGAGTTAAATAAATCATTTTTTGGGAAATAGCTTTGGACAAGAACTGCTTTATAACTCCACCACTGTAATACGGCCATTTGGTTGTTTAAAACCACCCTGTTGGTCGGGATTCATTTCGGCAGCCGCAGGAAGCCGGTATACCCAGCAAACCTGATTTCTCAAATGCCCGAGGGCCCCCCGCCCCAGCACTCTGTTGTAGT